GGGAGGGGGAGGGGGAGGGGAGGTAAGTGCGCAGCCGGGGAGAAGAAAGCGAAGAAAAATCTTTTCGCCGTTCATCCTCGCCACTTCACTCGCGAGCACTTCGCCGCCGTTTCAGTGACGCGTTGCACCTTTTTATTGGCGCGCGTGCTGGTTTACTTTTTTCCCTTCTTTCTTTCTTCCTTTCCTTTTCTTTTCTTTTTCGAGTTCCCGGGACTTCTTCCGTTATTCACGCCGCTCATTGTACTTCGAGTGTGGCTGCAAACGCGCCGCGCCCTCTCTCACCGAGAATGCAATTTCTGCAATGACTTTCCATCCACCAAACTGATACCAACGGCTGCCAGCTTTCTTCTTCCTTCTTCTTCATTTTTTTTTTCCCCCCCTCTTCTAATTAAATTGAAGTCAAGTCTGTTCCTACTCTACTTTTATTTGTTTTTATCGTTTCTTTTTCTTCTTTCTTTCTTTCGAGTGTAACAGACAGATCGGAGAGTGTACTAAACGATCTCGAAGGATAATTTATATTTATTTAGGGAAATTCAGGTTCCATTGAAAATCAAAGCGTTTCTCCTCTTTGGAACTTGGAACGTAGATTGTGTTTGCATCTTCTGTCATTTTATAGCTATCTATAGTGAGAGTATACTATACTATATACTAGAGAGTCTACTATAGCTACCTATAGTATAGAGCTATAATATAGAGAGTATCAACGTCTTAAATTTATTGAACCCTACTGTCGTTGATTTATTAGATACATTCTAAAGAGATGTTCAAAAAAATTTGTAATCATTTGTCCCATTTGTATTTTAACGTGCAAGGAAAATTGATATATTGAATAATTAAGTATTGATTAATTTATTAACAGAATTCTTGAAAAGATGCATATTGAATTTATCCACTCTTGTTTAAAGCTTTTCTCACGTACAAGAAAGATGACGTATAATTACTATTTCTTGACATAATAAGAGGTTCAATCGACAAATAATCCGCTGTAAATGGCGGGGCAAGTTCAGCGTGCAAGCTGATTCTTGCAATTTGCGTAACCCTAGCTCGAATGTTAGCCAAGTTGGGTCTTTAGTTGTCTAGCTAAATGAGGCGCGATTAACTCTGTGTAACTGTATTCTCGCTATTGATGACACGAGGTTATTATTGATAATAAAATCTGACCAATGCCGCGAATAAATCGCACCGGAGGAGTAAAGATTTCATTTTATTGTACGAGCATCGCCCAGTGCCAATGGAAGAGAGAATTGTTTACAAGTAATTTCCCGTTTCAAATGCTCCGCTTCCGGAGCACAACACTTCGCTCTTAGCAACGAAGGACGCGAGATTCTTGAAATAACTTCGCAATTCACTCCATTTGTTCTTGTTTTACCTCTTAATTCTCCTATTATACCCGTTATCTCCTATTATA